GCGGAGCATGGGGTTGATGTGGCCTTGGCCAGGGAAACTGACGAGGAAGACATGGGGGACATCAATTTGATGTTGAGAAGCCATTTGAGTTAATTTTGGGATTTTGGTTGGAAGGAAGAAGAAGAACCATAGCTGTTGGATGATTGATTGCAACTTTATAAATATTAAGAGTGAAAGGTGAAGTATAGACTTTTGTGATTTAGTAAGCTTATGTCATGTGTGATGTCTTTAAGAAAGGAAAAACACGTTTGTTTTTTTCCAGTATAATAGTAATTCAAACTCATTATATTTTAGTCGAAAATATGTACCTGAGTTATATTCATATGAATAGATTAAGAAATACTTATTTAAGTATCTGTTAAATATAATTGAACATAGACTAACAAGGAGTTATATTAATTAGTTTGACATGAACAAGAGAGATGAATTGACATTTTTATAGTGTTGGTATTTACCTAATATTAATATTAATAATTTTTAACTTATTTAGAAAAAATAAAATGTGGAGTATATTTATTACTTTAAATATTTGTTCGAATTTTTTTTATTTTATAATACTTTTAAAAATATCAATTTGGATATTAAAAGTTGATTGATATTTTTGTTGAGATTTTCATAAAATTAAAACTTCCACACATTTAAAATTTTGTGCTGGAGCTAAAAATACTACTAATAACATATTTTTGATGAGTTTATATTATTTGTATAATTGCAATTCTCATGGAGTGGGAGTGAGACGACCAAATATTTCAATCTCAAGGGTCAAAGAATATACCTAAACTAATTAATGTTAGTGTAAGAATCGTGGGACGGCGTGATTGCGTGAATTGTGCACTTCAAGTTCTAGGCGATTGGACGAGAGAAATCGATCAATAAGCAAAATTATAATGAAATTAAGTAATTAATTATCACCCAACTTTCAATAGTATTAAATTAGATCTTATCTTAGATTAGTATTGCAATTTTAACCTAGTATTACTGTTACAATATTTACTTTTTGTTTGACTTTCATATGAAGAAATGTGGAATATAAAATTATTTTCACGTGCACTCGAAGTTACAAAGGTACAAAATTGGCGAGAGATTTAGAGGATTCTTCGTACCTAATTTTAGGTATTGATTGGGTAAGACTTAATTTTTATTTAAATTAA